TTAGATTATAACAATAAATCTATTTTAATTCAAAATAAACAGTAAAATACTATTTAGATGCTATTGCTAATCACAGAAAGATTAGGCATAGTGAGCAACAATTTTTCATGCTGATTTCAAATATGTCCTTATTTTTTCTCTTAAGAGAATGTGGAAAATCTGTATCACAGTCCAGAAGCATTTATGCTAACTGATTAGATGTGTCAGACAGAGAAAAAATTTGAAACTGTGCCAAAGTGTGTACATCGACATTACACTGAACATGTCTTTTCAAAAAATCCTTAGTTAAGAAAGCATGATGCATTCTTGTTGTCCACTGTGGAGAAATGGATGGAGGATGAATTTTTATCCTATATACTTCAACACTCCTTTTACATCGTACTTCACAAAATCATTATTCCTCCTTAAAACTACATTTTGATATTTTTGTTTTTTTTAATTCATTTTACTGAATGTTGAAGGGTGTTATTAGAGTCTGGAATAACTGATAAGCACAACGTGTAAAATTATTTCGAAGTAATGATTAGACTGAACAGTAAAATAAAATTGAAAAGACTTCTAGAGAAAACCTACTCTTTTATTAAATATAGGTTTCAAAACAAATAAAAAAAATATGATTATGTGATGATATCGTCTGCATAACACTAAGCTTTCGAATTGAATGATCATATATTACGGCAACACTTAGAATTCTCTATAAGCCTACTTGACTTGCCATTATTTTCTAACAAAAATATCAAATTTTTTTAATGTACTCTCATTCAACGTCAACAGATATAACTGCACTACATATTTTTTGCTATCTAATAATACAATTTGTAGGGATGTAAGAATATAGGTACAATAAAAGACATGTGATATATTTGTCAGAAAATGATGATAAGTGAAGATTATTGAGTTAGAGAGTTTCACGCGTATTAGACTAAAGCTAGACTCCTACTGTTTCCACCATGTCTAGAGATGTGTGGGACCAAGTTTTTTCTGACGTCGGTTTCACTAGAGTTCGTCGGACTAGTTCTGGACTCTCATCGTGCCTGGATACAAAAATTTTGGACTCGACGATCTCTAGATTTCGGTCTATTTTCAACATTAATTTTTTTGATTTATTGAGCTGATAGATAGCACTTTTTGACTTATCTCTCTCTTGAATTTAAGATAATTTACTTAAAACTAAAGTCTTTAGTTCCGGTTAGAACAACTTTTTTTATCGTAGTCATGGCAAATCATGAAACTTTGATCTCTCGGTGACTGGGAACTTAAGTTAATTCTGCACGTCTTTAGTCATATCTGTGAAAATAACTTTTTCTCAGCTGTCTTCCAATCGACAGATTCTCTCTCATTGTCTGCAGAATTTTTAGTCTCTGACATTTCTAAGATTCAATTTTATGATTCTTTGGATATTTTATTTCTCGTCTAATCAAACACATTTGTTTGTTTCGAATTCAAAATATATTACCGTATCAAAATGTTGTTTAAGTACATTTCTTAATTCTTCTATACCACCTTGTTGAATTACTGTCGACATAGTACCATGTTGTAACTAGAAACAAAAGAACAACCTATAATTTTTATATTATTTTCTTCTAAATAAACTCACTACAAAATATCGATATGATACTTTTAAAATTGGTAACATAATACGATCATTAATATTTTCATCATAATATTCAGTAATAAATTTATCATCTTTCTTTCGTTCAACGACAGGAACATGAAGTGTCTTAAATAGATTCAAAAAATAAATAAATAATTTTTTTCAAGAAAAATTAAAAGCAACAACAATTTTGTTTTTACCATGGCTATACAAATATCATTTTCAACTTTATGAAATAAAAGACGAGTTTTTTGAAAATGTACACTGTCACATGGATCATCAAAACCAAATGTTCTTAAAAAGATAAGAATATTTAAATATCAAAAAAAAAGAAAATTTTATTTTTTTTAATACTCAGTAAATTTAACTAAACCTTCACAATAACCAATTGTACGTATTTGACGATTAAGATTAGTATCAGACGGATAATAATATAGAATTTTTCGATCTTCCTATATAATTTATTTATAAAATTAAAAGAATAAAATAATCAATTTATCAAACCTGTCCTTCTTTTT